CTGGTTTTTGTCGATAAGCTTAGGGTTAGTGAAAAATTTTAGAAACAAAACTGATCAAACCTCATTTTCTTCCTTGCTGATCCCCGGATGGGCATATCGAGTAGATGTGGCCATTTGGCGGAACAGTTTGCTCAGATCATGCCGCCAGCCCCAAAATCGCCCAACTTCAACGTGTAAGGAACGCCTCTTTTTGAGATACTTTTTCCCAAGACATAACTATTTAATTAATGTTTTATTAAGATTTTCTTTACTCCCTTATCCGGGCTTCCAAATCTCGATGGTGCACGATGACTTCGGAACAAGTAGCGAAGTGCTTTAAGCAGCTGCACTGCCCAACTAACAACCGTTTTCATCAGGTAAACAATTTCGGGATTGGAGACCACTGATTGAAACATTATGATAGTTGGATTTTACTACTTACATGACAATAAAGCGTTCCTCGATCCCAATATTCCATAATAATCCCAGGTTTCTCTTGGCCGTTCCATAGGCACCATGACCTTTTCCAAGCTCTTGGGGATGTTACGATGTCTCTCCCAAATGTTTTAAGGCCTCGTACTCTTTATTGTGATCGCTGACTTCTTCCACGTCTGAGCACCTTTACGACTGCCGAGCCCCCACAAATGTTTGGTACTGAAACATATTAAGTAAATTTATGCAGAAAAGATCTTTGATATGATAGCTATTATCAAAAAAGTGACAAATTCTTATTCGATCCAATATTTCCCAGTCGATTCAATCTTTTTATCAGACTGGCATTAAAAATTTAAAAATCCCCACTTCAATTTGACCCTGGCTTTTGCAATCCTATTCTCATCAATAAACAATAAGTACCAGCGGGAGTCTCCGAACAAGTGTTGGAGGTCTTTGTTGGGACAACGATTTATCCTTTTTATATACAGTGATCCGCATAAGTATTATCCTTTGACCTCAAAAAACTTTCTACAAAGATTTCCGAATAAAATCAAAAAAGCAATAGGTTTTGGATTTTATATCTTTAAAGCAAAATGCTTCTAGTTTCCCGTGTCAAGAATTTCACAAAGCCAACTTTATCCTGAAAAACTTATGCCCAAAAGATCATTAGCGATGGAAGAATCAGGCTCCTAAAGAAATATTGTCATATGCGCATTTTTTATTTTTTTTCTTTGTTGAAGTTTACTTTTGAAATCATCAATTATTTTTTAGATATTGTTTTAGAGAGACAAATCTCTCTACTCCAGATGAGGAGAAGCTGGTTGAGATGCGGAAAAAATGGAGTGTCCAAGGAGAGGCGGGGACGAACTCTTAAATTACTCCGCTTAAACTCAACCCAACTAGCGTTTGGCGGATCTTTGCACAAGGAAAAACCGGTGGAAATCTTCATAGAGGCTCCAAAAGCGGTCGTCTCCGGTGCAACAACGAAGGAGAAGATCGGGCGGTGGTAAATTTACTAAATGAAGCAGAATCCAAATCGGAATGCTACTGATGGCAAGAAGTACATGAAGGATCGTTTCGGCAAGGTTGTTTTACCGGATCCAATCGGAAGATGCTTGAATCGTGCTGGATTGTAGACGAGGAGGGCTGCGCAAAAACCTCCGACAAAATCGAGCATCGAAAACAGCCTTCCAGTTTTTAATGATCCACGCAAGCTGGACCAGAGATCATTCGGGGAAAGTGCTTTTCAGAATGAGACAAAAATTACTGTAGCTCGCGCAAACGGCAATCGCGCCTCCGGCGATGACCGGGGTGGAAAGCGATATTCCCTTAAGTACAGTCGCCCGACAGTGAAATTCAATGCAGGGAAGCATTATATGTTTAGGGTAAAGGTTTGTTTTTAATTTCGGTGACTGATTGTTGCTTTTCTGGAAGTGCGATTTCCCGAAATGCAGTAGGTCCGTTAATCCGCGTAGACGCAACGATGAATGCTGCGCTTACAAGACGATCTTGGAGACTCATATGCTTCGCTTTGACCACACAAGCGGTTCACACAAACGATGGATTCTCTGCTGGGACAATGACTCCGAGGAAATTACAAGTCGAGGTTCATGATGGAGTACAGTAGTCAATCTTCGAAAAGGTGCCCGGGCTCTTTTTACCTTGATGGTTTTGCGGCGAATCGAGTCAAATTGCTCAATCCGCACCTCCCTACTCGCCGGATCTCAACCCAATTGAGCATTTCTGGTCTTTTGTGAGAAGGCTCAAGGAAAGTTCGACTCCAAAGTGGCCATTTTAATTCCCATTCAACGTCTCTGATCGACCATTCCGAAAAATCTTTTGGAGGCTCTGGGAGTGAATTCCATGCCAGAGAGTCTTCAGAAGTGGTGAGAGCAAAGGGACGCTCAATTGTTATTCTATTTGTTATTTGTTTTGTACAAATATTTGTTTATAAACTAGATATTCATAGGTATTCAAAAAGCCAAGAATTTTGTATCGAATTATTGTTTTTATGGAAGAATTTCTAAGTAATATTTTTTTGTAGGGGCAATAGGACGATACTTCTGCGGACCACGGTATAAATAAATTTTTGATCTATAAAAAAGAAAAAAATTTAAGCAAACTCACAGTTTATAATCGATAAGTTTATAAACGTCTCCATATTGTCCATGCCCAAGAGCCGGCATACCTTCAATAGCAAGTTTTCTCGGCGTGTTCATTTTGGTCGAGTGCAAACCAAATCAATGCTGGGAGTTTCTTGTTGGGTGAGGGGAGAGTCAAAGAGACTTTTTCGCGATTATCAATACGAGCCACACAGAAAAGGAGCAAAAAACACCTGGCAAACAAATGATTGTTAGATAGCCTGTGCCCTCTGCATGAAAAGCACAGTAGATTTGCATGCGATTAGCCAGTATTTTTCTGAATTGTATTACTTGGGTCAAAAGCAAACAAATCCTATTTAGCCGTTTTCGTAACTTTTGTCATTTTCCAGTTAATCATTATTTTCTCCTCTTGTCGCAAATAGTAAAATGTGTTGGCCGCGACGACGAGTGTCGTGCAAACGGAGAGCGGAGCGTATAGTTGGGTCGTTCCTAATCTAATTGAATAGTAAAGAAGTGCTTATCGTTTGCTTTTACAGTGCTGTCCAATTAGAGTGTTTACATCTTAAGTAATATGCTTTATAAAGTGTGGATCTAAAGTCTGGATCTAATCTAAAGTATTTTGAATTAACTTAACCGTTTCTTTAGTTTTCATTACAGTGACTAGTTCTTAAAGATACTACAGGGTGGCTAAAAAATATTGTCGTTTTTCAAGCGCTCATAACTTGCCATGAAATCACTTTAATAACAAATTTATTGAAACAAACAATGTAAAAATAAAAAAACAAACAAAGCAAAAAACATAAATTATAACAAATTTTTTAAATTCCTTCCTTTAGCTTTCACACAGGCCTTCTCAACGGGAAACTACTGAATCAACTGTGTCCCGCAAGTACTTGACATCAAGATTGGGCCAGGCAGCAATCAGTTCCTTCTTAAGTTCAGCGAGATTTGTGATTTTCTTGCTATTCAGACTTTCTTCTAAGCAGCCCCATATCGAAAAATCTAATGGGTTGAGATCCGGCGAATTGCTGGGCCATTCTTTCCTTGAGAGTGAGAGATTCTGAGAGTGAGAGATGTGAGAGATAATCGAAATCCTAAGAAATTCTTGTGTTGAATCGATCGAGCATCGACGTTGTGGGAGGCACTCTTTTTATCAGCTCCAAGTGAATTCTCGTTTCTCTAGAAAAGGTTCTAGAAAAAGAACTTGTCAAGACAGCACTTGTCAATGCGAGTTAGGTGACAGGGTGACACGATCAAGTTAGGTTTTAATGTAAGGAAATAATTTTCCTCATTTCTCCATTTATACTTTCTCATTTCCTTCCCGCTTTGCTAACTAAAAATGTTGGACAAAATTTTTGTTGTTATTAGAATAACACACAGTTTTTCTTAAACATTAGCAAACTAAAAACCTTCAAATCAGTTCCTTTCTGTGGACTCGACCATTCACTTAGCATCATCCCTTTCGAGGTCGACTGATCGGGTCTGCAAAGAACGTTTATCGCCGTGAACGTTCTATCTCTCAGTGGAGTGTCCTCAAAATATTCTTTAACTTTTTCAACAGCCACTTCTTTGACTACAAGCTCTTCCGTTAAACAGGGAATCGTTTCACCATTCTGGTAGTTGTTTGGATGCTAAATTTGAGCTGGTGGCCGAGTGGATAGGAGGCTCGGATACGAGATGACCTATGCCTTTTTGCCGTAGGTTCGACTTCCCTTGAGGATCTTCCTTTTACTGTTTTTTTTTGTTTAATGCTTCATTTGTTCAATTCTAACTCCAGCTCCATATTGCTTTTCATCGGAAGTTATTTCTAAAAGCATGCATGCAAAAACGTGGAACAAGCATGCACTCATTGTCCCAATTTTTAAAAAAATTTTTTATTGTTTCTATCGTTTTTAGGCTAGTAAGATTTACCTATATAAATTTACGATTCTCTAAGAATTTAAATGCTATAAAAGAATTTTTAGGTCGAGTTCAAAGGAAAATCGTCAAGGGAGTGGAACCTACGGTAAAAATGCATAGGTCACGTTGTATTCGAGCCTCCTGTCTGCTCGGCCACCAGCTCACATTTAGGTGGCGGGAAAGATACCTTTTATACGTCTTCGTCCAGTCAACCATGAATGCTCGCCAGTATATGGAAATACTAGAAGGATGTCTACCTCCATTTGCTCAGGATCACATGGCACCTGGATGGTTTCTCTATTAGGACAATTCGCCGGTTCACAAGAGCAAGCTCATGATGGGTCGCACGGTGAATCTCTTAAATGGAGGAAAAGCTCATCTCCCTGGATGGTTTGCCCTTAATAATGTTTTGTTGATCAATGTGCCCCTATGTCGCCTGATTTCAACGTTATTGAGAATTTATGGGCTTACGTGAAGGCAAAGTTACGAGGAAAAGGCTTTCACACAAAAGTTGACTTATGGTTCTACATACGAAAAGTTTGGAGCTTAATTCGACCAGCAATTCTTCACGAATTAGTCGACTCAATGCCTAAACGACTCAATGAAGTGATTTTGGCGAAAGGTAGACCGATTGAATATTAATTTTTAATCTTTCTGTATAATGTTGCAAGACTTTTGCACCCAGTTTTTAGGATATTTTTTATTAGTTTTGTCATTTACTTTTTTACGCTGAACTTCAAATTTGTTTTTGTAAATAAAGTGCACATGTATTATTCTAATTAAAAACAAAAACCCCTACGAGACGGGTGGCATTTTCTATAGAAAAATTTCATCGATTTTTTGAAAAGTGATGTTGCAAGACTTTTGTAGTAGTATTTTGCTCAGGGGTTTTACGGTATTGTAGTAGTATTTTGCTCAGGGGTTTTTACGGTGTTATCTCTGCTGTAATTTTTCGTTTAGGGGAGATGTCGGACAAACCGGAGAGCAGCAAGACTCGACTCGAAGAGTAAAGAGAATGACCTTAAACAGTGAAATTTTCAAATTTAGGGATATCATCGAACCATTGTTCCAAAAGGATTTCTTGTCACAGTTGCCAGAGGAGGTTTGTCTTTTGTTAAAACTTTTGGGATTAATTGTTTATTTTTAGATTGCTTATCGCATCATCGCCTATTTGACACCGTGCGATTTGACGGTTTGTGCTGGCGTTTTGCGGACGTGGCAGCGACTTTGTGAAGATGATCGGATGTGGCGACCGAAATGTTTGGAGAAAGGATATGTGAAATTTGATGCGCCAAGGTGTGTTTCAGTTTTGAGCAAATAATATAACATTTAAAAATACATATCTGAG